CAAATACCTGCCCGCACAACTTCAACTGCAGATCAGTAGTTAACCTACTCTCAAACTTCCTAGCTTTTGCTTTCTCCGTAGAGACGGATCCTTCAGCAAAACGGGACAACTCAATAAACTTGGTGTAATATTCCGTAGCTGTCATCTTATCCATCCTAAGGTTTGAAAATTCCTCAGCCTTTTGCTTCTGCAAAAAGCTAGGATAAAACTTGTCTCTCACTTTTTCTTGGAATTTGGTCTAGTTGAACCCAGGTAATGCTCTAATGGTAGCCTCGTTTTGTTGCCACCAAAGGTCAGCTTCACCCCTCATATAGTAGGTAGCATAACCTACTTTGGAGTTTTCAGGGCATCCCACAGCTCCAAACAGTTTCTCAAATTCCCTTAACCAATTTTCCAACACCACAGGATCAGGCTCGCCCTGATAGGTTGGTGGCTTGCTTTGCGCCACCTTTTTAAAGAGCTCCCCTTGAGCATCCCCGTTACCAGTCGAGTTCCTTGCCAATTGTTGGGCAACCGCTGCCAATTGCCTTACTACATCATTCAAATCATTTCCACCACTATCTGAACTTCGTCCCCCTGCCATTTGGTTTCTCCTGAATATAGGACAAGGATAACTATTAGAAATGTCTAGGTTTAGCTCTCAAGACGAACACCCGTATATATTTAACGACTTTTTAAACATTTACAGTAAAATTTGAAGCTAACAATTTGGGATAGCAATTGCTAAAAATTCCCTTAATGTAGCTTTATCAATTAATATTGATTGCTAACCAACCATGCATTTAATAAAGCATCACAATAAATATAAAAAAATAATTCCCATGGACGTTTGCGGTTTATAAATGTTTGTTGGAGATAAGTTGCTTGGAATGGTGATTACTGGAAAAATGGTGGGAAATGAAATATTTGTAAAACAAAAGAATTTATAAATAAAAATCTATCAAAGAAATAAATAAGGTTTATTAATTAAAATAGACTGAAGATATTAAAATTAAAAGTGTGTTCCAAAAACTGATGTGGTCATGCCACTTATTTGCTAAAACTGAAATAACAAATAAATTTTTAAAATAAAGAATATGAACTCGTTGCGAGGAAAGTCATAAGATTTAATATTTTTGAACGTTGTCCCTTTTGTCGGTGGATTGCTTGTAGTTTGAAGGATCGAAGTTAGAATCATTTGACTCCTCCATTGGTTCAGGTGATTCAGGCTCAGGTTCTACTGGAACAAACTCCCCTTCTTCTTCCTCATCCGATGAAATATCTATAATTATTGGAGTTGGAGGTGGGTTTGGATCAGAAATGTCCATAAGTGAACTATTACCCTCTTGTTGTTCTTCATTCTCTGCTGGATTACCCCCCGACGAAGAAGAAGAAGAAGCGGAATTTTCTGGTTGTTGATTTAGAGGAGGATTGTTCTCTGCTGGGTTATCAAAGTAGTAGTCAGGGTAGGGAAGGTTTAAGCGCTGACAATAAACTTTCTCCACCCTTACGAGATATTTGGTTAAGAAAATATAGTCTGGATACCATTGGCCATAATAATCTCTGTATTTATGGTAATTTGGAATGTCTCCTGGAAGATAAAAATCAGAAAATCTTTGTTTGACAGCAAAGTAAGGGGGCTCCTCTGGAAGACAATGGACAATCATTGCCGAAATACGATCAGGGGTGTCATAAACCTTCTCCCGTAGGACATTGCTCATGTAGGAACAAAAGTATCTGATCTTTTCTACAAAGTCATAGGGGTGTTCATTATTTTTCTTTACGAGAGATCCCATTTGGGTAAACTTGCTAGGAAAATTGGCATCCTGTAGAGAAAAGGTTTAGAAAAGATTTCCCTTCCCTAAAGAAATAAAATAAAATAAATAATACAAAGTTCAGTGTTCAATCATACAATCTGAAGAATCACATAAAATAATACATATATTGCATGCTTTCGTCACAAACATTTAGTCATACAACATGCTTGAACACCCTAAAATAAAATTTATGCACACAGGGAAGAAATTAAATTCTAGCCTATATGCCCTTTTTTTCCTACCCAAGCTCACCAACATATTAATAAAAGCTTTTAACACATAATTCTTACCTCAATCCTTGCTCCCTGCAAAATTAACAAACTAAAAATATTTTACCCTGCTAAAATTTTTTTTTCGAAATTTTAGAGAAGGGGCCAAATTTTCGGCCTTCACAAAAAAAAATAAAAAATTTCGGACACTAAAAAAAATTTCGAGTGTCCCAAAAAAAAAAATTTCGGATCAAAATAAATAAAAAAAAATAAAATGAAATAAAAAAAAATTTCGGCCCTCTTAATAAAATAATTTAAAATAAAATAAAATCGGAATGAAATTGACATTGTAAAATTAAATTAGCACTTGGCCAAGTTTAAATCATAATAAAAACGTTTTCGTGTTAGTGATAATTTAAAATCTCAACCTGGATTTGATACCACTTTGTAACACCCTAGAAATTCCTTTCCTTTAAATACACACTTTACTCTATTTAAAATACGTTTTAGGAATTGAATATCTAAGACATTACCGCCACCGTGAAAACGACTAAGGCAACTACCAAAGATACACAGCGGAAGACTTGAAAACCAAAACCATTTAAATAACACAATTTAAAAACCAAACCAACGAAAGTAAAGTTGAAAATCAACAAAACCAAAGTCAAATAAAATCCACTACAACTTGGAACCATTTAAGACCCTTATTCAAAACCGAAACAACCAAACTTTTGTGTTAGTCCATAAAGTAATATAATAAAATATTCAATGCATAAAACACATCATATTCTAATGGAAGCTAGCATGATTCTCTCTTCACTCATGCCCCGTCATGAACATGCTTCAATACCTGAAAAGTGTATCTCTACTTGCCCCCACTACTCTCCATTAAAATGGATCATCGTAGGGCCAAGATGAAGACATGGCCAGACACAAACAACACACACAATCAGCAAAGCTGAGTACATAAGCGTAATTAAACACACTAACATACATTCTCCTATCATCACACACACTTACCTCATTGCACCTGTTTACAAGCACACACAACAATCAACAAGACACTCTAACTAGACACTAACTAATTCATTTAGCGTTGATTACACATCGAACGGGTTTCCAACTATACCTATCCCAATAAATTGGGGTTAACTGACACGGGAGCTAACCGTGCCAGCAACAAACCTGTGCCACACATAGGTGGCGGAATTCCAGCGCATAAAAATAAAAAGGAATATACAGCGTCCTGTACTCCGTTGGAAGTTATGGTTAAATATAAAACCCCATAACTCCCCCCATTGTTCATACTCAAGGTATATACGTTCCAAGAGTTTTGGTGCGTAATCTCTTTCACTTTACGTTATTTACATATTATTAGACTTGGTGATGACTCTCAAAGCATAATAAGTCAATCAACAATAATTATACAATCAAACAAACATACCAATTTACTTCTTGAATAATTGATGACCACATATTATTTATTGTTGAACCCTTTTTAATTCTACCTCAGTGTCAAGACACCTTAAATGCATAATGCGCCAAAAATCCTATCCCTTGGTGTTAAAAACACCTTAAGTGCACAAAGGCACCAACATACAATTTATTCTTGTGTACATAGACACTTATATAGCTCATTCCTCATGCTTAAAGCATCAATAAAAATTATTTGAACATAATAAAATTCCTTTTCAATATTCCAAACATAATTAAACATGTAGTTTAATTAATCATGCCTTCTAACATGCCATAAATAAAAAATGTAGTTCAAACACAACATGCCAAAAATATAATTTTCCAAACCATAAACCATCACAAATAATTCATGCTTCACCATTCAATCACCAACACCATTAATTCACATTTCCATACATAAATCTTAGCATGATACTACTTTTAATTGATTGAAATCAAGCCTACCATGAATCTACATCCTCAAAATATGCTAAGTACGCGAACGTACCTTGAATACGATCTTAAAATCGTCACGACTAGTGAAAATTGCTCACTTCGAAGTCTCCTACACATTAAAATTATAATAGAGCATTAAAACCCACTCTAAACAAATTTCCAGCAATATATACTATTCTAAAACCCCTCTTAAAATAATTAGAATAAGCTGAAATTATATTTAAAACACCCTAATTAAGTCCCACTTAATGGGTAATTTAAATTTCCTTCAAAAACATAATATTAATTGCTCTACATAAAATTCAAGCACTTTATTTCTAATTAAAACTTGCTGTAATTTAGTCTTAAAACACCTTATTGAAGATCTAAACATTAGTACCTCATATACTTTCATAATTTTCATAAATCAAGGATCTAGGGTTTCAAAAATTGGGGCTTTTTAATTAAAACCAAATCTGAAAATTAATTCATACAATTACTATTGTCAAACATCAAAATTAAACCCCCAAACTCATAATTTATATTTAGATCCAAGAATAGATTAAATTAAAACAAGAAAGCTTAGTTTTAATTTTTTATATATATATATATAGTTCGAAAAAGGGGGAAAAAGGGGAGGAAGAACGGCAGCCACCACCGGCTGGCGGCTGCTGGCGGCTTGCGCTGCTGGCAGCGGCGGCCACCAGCTGCCGGTGGCTGGCAGCGGTGGTGAGGGAGGAGGGCAACCGAAAAAATATAAGGGGAAGGGGAAAAAGAAAAAGAAAGAAAAAAATAAGGAGGAGAGAGAGAGAAGTTTACCTTGGGTTTTCTCCACTCTGGGCAAAGTTTGATTTGCCTCATAAGTGGGATATTTATACCCCTTCTCTACTAACCCTCTTCCAGGTTTTCCTAATTCCTTCCCTAATAAACTTGTTGAAAAATTAAACTTTCCTAAAATAAAACCCCAACTTTTAAATAAAATAATTAAATAAACTTTCCTTTAATAATAATATTAATTAAAATAATTTAATTAAAATAATTACAACTATTTAAATACTTTATAAAATACATACTTTAAATAAAATACGTATAAAAATAGGGGGTATTACACAATCCGATCAGGATCGTGATGCCAACAACCAGAAGAATCTCGAAGTCCTAAAATCTTATTCTTTCGTTTACGAGACTGGACCGAAGAGAACAAAAAACGAGAATAAGAATCTCCTAAAGCATTCCATTTAGCTTTTGCCCTTTGCTGCCAAAAAATAAAGGCCGCCTGTGCCTCTGCCATTTTTGTGTTTTTTAGTGGAAATGAAAAGGCACCGGCCTGCTCGAGAGTTAAGAGACTGAGAAGCTTGTTGAACATCAAAGACCAGCTGTTTCCAATTAATTCCCCATGATTTGTTATTTGAAATACACCAAGCCAAGAGACGATCCCGAGAAATAGAAAGTCTACGAGATAAAACAAACATGAAGGAACCAGAAAGGAACAAAGAAAAGACAGAAGCGATAATATTGTGTACAGCTGGAGCAGACAAACACCAGTTCTCAATTCTGTAAGGACGTTTACCACACCCAGAATCAGCCGTATCAGAAAGAATAATAGCAGCATGATCCGAAAATAAGATGGGTTGATGTAAAAGTTTGGTATCCGGGTAATTAGCAAACCAAGTGGAAGAGCCATAAGCTCGATCCAGACGCTCAAAAATAGGATCGGAATCCAATCTATTATTCGTCCAGGTATATCGAGGACCAGAAAAAGGAACATCTATTAAATCCTGACCTATCCGCCAATTTATAAAGTCCGATTGTCCTGGAATAGAGAAATTTCCCCCTAATTTGTCCGAGGTATACTCCACTTGATTAAAATCTCCAATAATTACCACATTTGAAAAGGACTCCAAAAAATTACTAATCAAGTACCAAATCTCCAAACGATTAGTAACATGAGGCGAGCCATACACAAACATCACATATTTTATTTCATCTCCTTGCACTAATTTACACAGATATACATTTTGTGAATTGTAAACAGGGATTAAGCCTAACGCTGAAAACCAACATATAAACAGACCACCACTAAGACCAACCGCATCAATACCACAACAACCCAAAAAAGGTAAAGATGCTAACTTTTGAGCAGCGGTATCTACAGAAACCATAGTTTCCAAAAGACAGACCAAATCTAAACCATGAGAGCGGACTAAGGAGGCAATGTAAGGAATTTTAGGGGAGTCCGCCTGATCTAGACCCCTACAATTCCAAGCTGCCAATTTCATCCCGCCGATGGTGGTCTAGTCCGGGAGACCACCGAGCCCTTAGAAGAGGAATCAGAATCAGATGCCAAACTGCCCTTGCGTTTTTTGTATGGAGTGAAACATGAGAAACAACCTGGTTCATGAGCCTTTTTATATCGCAAAATCGAAATTGGGGGAGCTGACGGAGATATGTCACCGCCTGACCTCTTCGCTAGACACCTAGAAGAAACCCATTTCCAAATTTTTCCACTTCCTTTTCCTAATTTGCGGGACGGAGAAGAAAATCCACTGGAAGTAGTCGAACGAGGAGGGGGAATCTGGTTTATCGCCAAAGAACCAACAACAGTCCGAGGCTCCACAGGAGGCGAATACGGGGGAGAAAAATCCATAGGAACAACTTCATCCTCCGAGGCTACTTGAAATTGATTTTCCACAGGAACTTGAACTTGAGATCAACGAGGGAATGATCTTCAGTAGGAACAGGATCCCCATCTGTGATTTGTATAATAGGATTCTCAAGAGATTGATTCACTGACGGAGGAGTAGAAATAGTCGGAGAACTAAACACGAAATCATCAGAGGAAGAATTGGCCACAACTTTCGATTCCTATGAGAAATCTGTTGGAAAGGAATCCGAAAGAGATGGAGTTGGAGAAGAGTGTCCTTCTGCTGCAGCCCAATTGCTAGGCCCAGCCCCAAACGGGTCATCAAACACAGGACCATTTGGACCCATAGTAGGGGGGAGAAAGAAGGAATATTAATCGGGCTAGATGGAACACGTAGATCCAACAATGAAGGAGTTGTCATATCACCTGGGCTAAAATTAAGATCTTGCATGTGAAATGCGGGCCGGCCCAACTCTGACGGTAAGAGAGACCCATACTGATTAAGAGACACGTGAGAATGAGAACTAATATAAGTAGAAATAATATGTGCATCCAAAGCCCAATCACTTAAATGACCCGGTCTAATAGTCTGATCCGATTCACGTGATGAGTGTTGAGGTGGCTCGAAGAAGCCAAATTTGGCCGTCTAACTTGTCTCAAGAAACCATCTTGATCACGTGTCGGTTCACCCCCACGAGAGTGCTCCAAATTCTAGCTGCCCACATAGCGCCACCCGTCTCCTTCCCTACCTGCATGAGTGACACGTGGAGCGCGTCTTGCTTCGTGATTAGGAACCTCAAATTGCTCCCTAATTGCTCTATTAACTCCCAAATCAAGCCTAAGATCTTCATCCGTACTGCAGCGATAAACACCTTCAGTTGGTGGAGGAAAAAGCCCAGGAATAGAAGATATAGACCGGTGAGGATGCGATGAACCTGAAGAACCAGATTGCGAAGCCGATGATGGATAAGGAAGACCGCTCCCATACGTGTCATAGTCGGATGGATGAGAGTCTGCTGAAAACTTAGAAGGATCCTCCTCATTATGAAATCCAAACCAAAGTTCCGTTGTCCAAACCGAAGGAGTTGGAATAATACCACGAATAGCAGTTGAGTATAAGTCCGTATCGATAGGACCAAATAACACACGTCCACCACTTTCGTGGATGTGACGAAAGCGATTTTCCAGATGATAATTAATAGTAGCATCAGATTTAACACACGTGCGATCACCATGTCCGACAAAACCGCACTTTTTACAAAATCTAAACACACCCTCATATTTAAATCGAACCCAAGTGACTTGGATTCCATTTGTAGGAAAATAACAACCCCAATTAAAGGTAACGACAAATCAACTAATATTCTAACTCTAGGACGAGGAATAGGAAACTGACACTGTCACCATCGACCATAGTGATATCCCCGACATGAGCTAGAACTGCCGCCGCAACATTTGGAGTAGAGTAACGAATAGGAAGTCCCTCCACTGCTACCCAAAGTTCGGCTGTGTAAATTCATATTCTAAGGCACCGATCCTTCTCTTATTCTTTGGAGAACCATTAGACTGCCCTTGAAATGAACCCAAGCTCTATCTTCTAGATCTTCCGCATCCTGTTCAGTTCCACAACAGAAAATAACGTCTCTATGATAAGGGAAAACACGGACAGGGGCTCGAAGATGCCAAAACCGAGATACCAGACGCTGAATAACCGATAAAGAGAACACACGAGTGTCCCAAAACCTTCCAATGACAGTACAGTTCCAGTCAATAGGAAATTCGTCCCCCAAAGGAGGGGGAGTTGGGAATCCTTCTCCCACTAGGTGAGGATAGACGAACGTACGAGAATCTAAGTAGCGAGACATAGATGAAATGAATTATAGAACTTGATGGAAAAGAGAAGGGAAGAAGAAGTCAGGTGGTTATGGAAATGAGGAAAGAGTTTTGTTAGGAGATAGAGGTGTTTCACTCGAGAAAGAATTTTGGTGGTAAATGTAGTTTGGTTCCTCAGTTTGGGATGGTTAGTACATAATGTTAGCCTTTTAAAAAATTTACCAAGTATATGGATTACATCAACTCTTCTAACAATTCTAACATAAATTGGGCCAAACCCTCGACATCCAATTAGGGGGGTCTAACTCCATACAGAAATGGAAACCTAATTGTAAGCGTGCCCAATTGTAAAGGCAACCCAAACAAATAATACTATCTATACTTTTATTATATATTAAAAAGCGTTTTTAAAATCGTTTATGTGCCACGTCATTCCCCTCTCATAGCATTGTGCCATATCATCACTTAATGACATGTAATTATCAATAACAAATCATTTCAACTATTATTAAAAAGCTTTTGATGGGTTACGAACACTAGACCTCAAAGAAACAAGTTCTATTTCCTTACCATCTTAGTCAATAACAATTGATGTCATTAATATATATAAATATAATTATAAATGACATGCATCAATTAAAAAGGAAATACGAATTAAGCAGTTTGAAAAAAAAAGAGAGAAATAAAATCAACATTCTACAAACAATAGAGTGTTAAAAAATATCTTTCTATACTCTTTATCAATTAGTAACATAATTTTTACTCCCTCCGTCCTAAATTATGTGAGGAATAAATGCTAGAAATAGGAACGTAATTTAAGGACGGAGGGAGTAACATTTATGCATAACATAAATAATAGATGATAATATGTTTTATTGTGTCAAAAAAGATGATAATATATTTCATAAAGAAACAATTTAATCAAAATGGTAACCCGGTGTAACGCGCGGGCCACACACTATTTTATTTTAAAACAGGATGTTGGAGGGACACTTGTCCTCCTCCTATTTTTCCTGTTTTAAAATAATTTTTAAAAATTAAAAATTACAAAAAAAAAAAAAAATCTCTCTTCTCTAAGCAACTCCAATGGTTGTTTTTAGGGACTAGCTTGAAATTTTAATAATTTTCAACCTAATAGCCAAACCATTGGAGAGTAGTTTAATAATTAGCTTGGCCAAGCTAATGCTAAGCAAATTAGCTTAGAAATTAATTGTCTCTAATAAAAGACTAATTATTTAAAAAATAAAGCTGAAAAATCTAAATGCTAATTAGCTTAACTATTTTGACATAAATTAGCTAGAAGGAAGAATAACTTTGCAATCCTAGGTGGCATGGCAAGCTAATTTGGCAATTAGCTTGCCGTTGGAGTTCCTCTTCAAAATGTCATTAAAAGAAGATAAAATTTAATTTGTGTCAGTTGGCTCTTCAAAATGTCATTATAAATGTTCTTTAATTACACAAAAAAATTATTTCATCTTACCCACACTCATTGTTCTTCTGTTTCTTTCATCCTTCTCTATTTTTTTTTTTTGCCAATAGCAGAACAAAACAAAAACTAAGTAACAAAGCTATGAAAAGAGGTTCTGCATCCATTAGCAACCAGATGTGCCTTGTGTACCTGGTCCCTGCTCATCTTCCAAATGACGCAAGAGTTACATTCACCTGCCTCCCTCTGTATATCACATAAGATGTCGATATCTGGTTCTTGACGTTTTCTAAGGATGCTGACCAAGACAGAAGAATCTGTGAACACCACGATCTATTTCCAGTTTTTAGAAGAGGCCCACCTAATTGCCAAAAGACACGCTAGGGCTTCTGCATGGATGGCAGAGGCTAACCTACAGTAGTGCCCTCCACCTTCCTGGGAGTCCTCAACCTCGTTCTGAAGCACCCATCCTAAGGCTGCATTTCCTGTGTTTTGTTATGACCCATCTATAAGGATTATAGCCTCATGAGAGCTTACCCCATTAAACAGAGTGTGAAAAACTTCTTTTCCTAAAGAAGCATAGTCAAAACCCGGTGGTCTGATCCCTCCACCATCCGTTGTGGTGTTGATTCCTGACCTGTTATTGAAGACCTCAAGGTCCTCATTTTCCCTTCCAAAGTGGCGCAAGAGTGCAGGCAAATCACTCTCATCATTTCTGAAAACCCTCCCATTCTTGTTGATCCATAAACACCAAAGAACCACAATAAACACGGTGATTCTGTTGCTATGGATACCATCCTCGCTACAGAAAAGCAGAATATATCTCTGAATCCATTGTTGCAAAGAAATAGATTCAGCTAAGTCCAAGATGTTGCCCAACGTACTAGTTTCCCACATACTCCGGGCGATATCACAATCTCTGAACAAGTGTTCAATGTCTTCTACCTCCCCTTCACATAGATCACATTCCCGGTGGATTGGGATACCTCTATGATGCAGGTTATCTCTTACCGCGATACCATTCATACCTAATTTCCAAAGGAAAAGACTCCACTTGGGAGGGATTTTAAGGCGCCAAATAATATTACAAAATCCTCATCCTAGTCCCCTATCCAGCTCCTCCATCTTAGCCCCTTGGAGAAAAGCATAACCTATCTTGGTTGTATACCTTCCTGTCTTGTGGTGCTTCCAATATAGGACGTCTTCCTCCTGGGCCTCAGATAACTCAATGTTCAAGATATTGTTTGCGCTTTCCCATT